ACAGGGTTGAGGGTTTGGAGCTAAGGATTGAGGCAGTCCTCGGCAAGATACTATGGTTAAAGAAGATAAGCCCTAAGCATCCTGACGTGATAGTTTCCCAAATAGGCGGGCGTACTTAGACCCAGTTAAACTATGGTCCTGATGATGGGGACGCTGAAAATGTACAACCGCCCCCTGATTTTGGGAAATTTTGGGAAACCCTGATCCCCGTCATCCACTCAAAAATCCTCCACAGTTTCCGTATCATGTTCCCATGTTCTTCTCCATTTGAGCTATAGTCTAAACTCCTAGTATCCCCCTTTACTACACCCCGAACCATAAGCCACAAACCCCAAACAAAAACCCCGTACCCTAAACCCCAACCCTTAAATGCTCTGAAGACTTTGTAGGATTTCCTCTTGCAAGACGGACGGGCTCAGGGGTTTTAGGGTTCGTCGTGTGGTGGTTCTGGTTCTGAGCATATGGATTTAATGTTGCAGTTGCAGGCCTTAAGGGCTAGGGTTTTTACTATTGGCAGTTAGCTCCAGTTTGAAACGCCGATGCATCCATCTTCTAAAAGGCTGGGAACTATGGTTCTGAGGCCTTAGCTCTTTGAGTGCTGAATTCAGGATTAAGCTGTCGTTTGTGTAGAAAGGTCGAAGATCCTGGATTCGGGGTCTTGGGATGAACGGGCTGGAGTTCTCGTATACGGTGCAGACAGGACTAATGTCCGCTACACCACCCTAAATACTAAACCCCCATATGGACCCTAAACCCTACACCCTGAACCGTAAACTCTAAACCCTATAGACTCTAAACCCTAAACCCCTGTAGACCCTAAACCCTACACCAGGAAGGTACCTGGATGCCATGTTACTGGGCGCACCATCTTCAGTGATATCTAACGGCTGAACGAGGGAATGGTTGATTTGTCTACCCAAGTCCCTAAATAGCTGTGGCCAGCGAGCTCTTCAAAGAGACCAGCGGAAATCTGTTGAGAACACATGGGATCATGTGCAGGAGCCTGCCTTATACATTACGCTTATCTTCAGATATCTTGCTATCTTGCACAATTTCCACCTCCCCACAGTATCCAAAGCCTCGAAGCCAAGCACAACTAAACTCCCAATGGGCCTCAGACCTGACATTTGACAGGCCAGCTAATCCTTGCCAATGCAAATCCGTAAACTCTGACATCCTACTGTTCAAGCCTGAACCATGAAAGCCTGTTCCCTACACCCTGAGAACTTAAATCCTAAACGCTCCGAAATCTCCAGCCCAGAAGTGTACTTACTGGTTGTTAGCAGGGTATATGGGAACATGCTCCCTATGTAATCCCGATATAGTATATTCCCTGACTCACTACTAATCCTAAACCTTAACCCTATATATATATATACACACACGTAACATATATATATATATATGCTAACCCCTCCCCCTAGGACCAACCTTTCAATGTTCCAAAATTCCAAAATTCCAAAATTCCAAAATTCCAAAAAAATCCAGTCAATTTTTTGGAAATTCCAAAATTTCAAAAG